GTTCTGTTGCTCGAAGAGACGTTTGCCCAGGTGCAAGCACTGCAGCAAAGGGTCCCAGGTCCCAGCCTGTCTCATGTTCAGTATTTTTGTCCAGATTTTCTAATCGTCCTCAGTGTCAGGACTGATCAGGATGACCTAGTCTGCCATCACTGGAATTGAAAGTTCTCTGTTTCATTTTTAACTAAAGACATACTTGTTAATCAGACCTAGTGAACACCCATGGTAGCACAGTGAGTTAATATACATCCAACCTACAGCCCCCAGATCCCTACTGCTCCCTTTATGGCATGAGAAGCCCAGACTGCGTATCTTGGTGTTGCAGCGTGCTGGATTCTGGGTGTTTAGGGGTCAGCTAAGGTCTTACTCCCTGCCCTCATGAAGCCTGCAGTCTGCCCTTTCCTTCCTAAAGTCTCCAACCTTTGTGAGCCAATATTCCCATTTGATTTTGTCTCTGTTCTTCTCGGCCCATCTCTTGGATTGCTACACTCATGATTTCAACTGTCCTTCCTCTGAGTAAGCTCTTTCCCAGCCTTTGTACCGCTCTCGGGGCAGTAAAGGTCAGCCTGAGCCTGGAATGCAGGTCTGGCCCTGTCCTTTTCTCAGCCTCACGGCCCATAAACCATTCACTCTCAACTATAGCCCAGTCTCTGAATGCATGTGTTTTGGCACATACAAGTTTGTCCTCCTAGACTCGGCGTCACCTCCACCGGGAAGCCTCCCCTGATTCTCCCAGACTACATCAGCCTGAACTAACACTCTGTTTCACCAGGTCTGTTTCCCCAGGAGGACAAGCATTTTGAAGCCAGTGTCAATGTCTTATTCATTTCAGCGTCTCTAACACTTGACGTTTAAGAGGTGCCAATTAATGTGGAAGGATCTCATGGGAAATCTCATGGCAACTTGGGAAAAGTGCCACGCATCCCCTAATGCATTGTCTTTTCCACCAGTCGAATGAACCTTTTTCCCTGGGAACTTCAGTCAATTTCTACTCCTTAATGGGAGACATGTCAGCTGCTTATCCGCCTGCATCCCCCCAGACACATCGAGTTCACAGACCTTTGGGACACTGTGACAGTGGACTGCCACCTGCTGGTGAGAAGGTTTCTTGGACAGTGACAGGAAAGTTTCTAGGCCAGTGACAACTCAGGGCTACAGACAGAGGAGGGGTTCTTAAGGCATTCCACAAACAATATAAACCCCTTCTCAGAATAGTATTTTCAAATGCACAGTATAAAGCACATAGATTACAAGTGAAACCAGTCATAATGAAATAGAGGTGTCAAAATATTAGAAAATATATATGCTATGTGTGATATATGTTATATGTATTATATTTGTATCTCATTAAATAACAAGATCTAGTAGTAGGTCCAATAACTACTATAATTTCAAAATGGATGAAAATGATAATTGAAGATGTCTGCAACAGCTGTAACGTGAGATGCAGTCTCTGTGATTTCTACTGCTGACATAGTCACAAGTACTGCTAATAATATTAGAGTTTGTTGCCTATACCCATAAGGAAAGGAAATGCTGAGTTTCAGTTAGAGGTTAGTGAAACTAAAGACCAAATATTTCCCATCCAGGTACAAAGATACCCTGAATTCTACCCATGGATCCCTTGTGTGTGTTTGAGGGGGGTCCATGGACTCCAGGTTAAGAACCCCTGAATGTGGTTTTAGAGGCATGGCTGACACTTTTTTGGGGGCTGCATTGGGTCTTTGCTGTGCGCAGGCTATCTCCAGTTGCGGTGAGAGGGGGCTACTCTTCGTTGCGGTGCGCGGGATTCTCATTGCGGTGGCCACTCTTGTTGCGGAGAACAGGCCCTAAGCATGCAGGCTTCAGTAGTTGTGGCACGTGGGCTCAGCAGTTATGGCTCGTGGACTCTAGAGCACAGGCTCAGTAGTTGTGGCTCGTGGGCTCTAGAGCGCAGGCTCAGAAGTTGTGGCGCACAGGCTTAGTTGCTCCGCGGCATGTGGGGTCTTCCTGGACCAGGGCTCGAACCCGTGTCCCCTGCACTGGCAGGCGGATTCTTAACCACTGTGCCACCAGGGAAGCCCACGGCTGACACTTCTGAACATGGCAGAGATGCTGGTGGTTAAGTGTGTGTGACTCTTGCTAAATGTAATGGGTGCAGTTGGCGGGAGAGGAGCTGTGGAGGAGACAGTGAAGTTCAAACTTTGAAGCCATAGGCACTTTATCAGCACTTACCAGTGCTCTGAACTTTCGCCTGACTCTCCCCTTACCCAGCATGTTTCCTCGTCTATAAAACGAGAATGACAATGTCTTCCTCATGGGTTGTTGAAAGGATTCAATAAGTTAACATGTAAAAACTCCTGGGGTCAAATATTCACTGTTAAATGAGAATGATATAAATGTCTGTAGAGAAAACACACACACAGCCAAGCGTAACTTCTTTCAGAACAGAAACCCCAGCGTCTGACCTGTTGTACAACCTGGGAGGCACCAGTGTACTCAGAAGATAGGAAACCCTTTCTTGTTTAAGTCTGCCCTGCTTTTCTCACCCGAATCCAAGAGAACAAACCCAAATGCAAAGAGTTTCCAACCTTGTTATTTTATTAGAAGCATATTTACATTCTCGCAGTTAACTTTGAAGAGAACATTTTACAAAAGTTTTTTATATAAAGTTTGGAAACTACATAAAAATAACTTCTATTCTTCATAAAGAGGAAAATATAAGTTAGTTCTATTTACTCTGCTAAAAATTGACTGTAAATGTGAAACAGTTCCGTCTGTCCCTTCTAGAGAAAACATTAGCACAGAACACAAAGAATACTGCATGGGCCTTCTCAATGTTGGGCATTGCATGCTGGCTCAATTGTGAGACTGGGAGACCCAACCAGACCCCATCCAGGAAGGACAGGGGAGGTATTAAGGCTAAGGCAGCACTGAGCAGGAAGCAGCACCTCCTTGAATGAGATTCCAATGTGAACGACAAACCAAAGAAGGAAATGATCAAAGACTTTCACCTACACCATGAAACTGGCATTTCACCTAATACTCATTCTCACACCCCAGGCTACAAAAGGCAGTATTGTAAATAAAGCACAAGTCAGCCCTGCCACTGGCCATCACCTGACCATTCGCCAATGCTGGCCTCGCCTGGTGGAACTGGGTCTGTGTTCTGTAGTTACACTGTTAGTTCACGTTTTCCCAGCACCTGTGCATCAAAGAGAATCAAAGGGGATAATTGTTTCACTTGTCTCATTTGTGTGAGACCTGAAAATTGTCCTTTCTGGGTCAAATAGTGAAGCAGGCAAGCTGAGTGCTCACTAACCGTAGAGGCCCAGTGCCTTCCCATGGCCCCCAGTGCATCTTTACTGCATATGTTAAGTCTTTGGAACCCCAAGTCCCTTTTCCTATTGAATGGTTACCCTACTTTCCCAAGATCCATTTACAGCCAGTCCCCAGAAAACTCCAGGGAATTGCTTTAGAAAGACAAAGCACTGAACCCTTACCTATAGGAGTGAAGAAAGAGGAAGTCCTCCCAGGGTGTGTCAACCACCCCATCGCCACCAAAATAGTATTCAGACTCAGTACACCCATTTGATTCCTCAAAATCACCTTCAGTTTTCCGCTTTGTTTTTTTAAAGCAGGTATTTTCCTAAGGAAGCCATTTATTTATATATTTTTCAAGTTAGACATAAAGGTGAAAAAAAGTTTTCTTTGTAAATAAACCGAACGCTGGGTTGAGCATTTGCTTTTATTGGGTTATCTATGCTCTGCAGCCTGTGGGGATCAGAATCTGTGGGAGGCCAGCTGAGTCATCCAAAGGCCCAGCATTCCATCTGAGATACAGAAGCTTTGCTTTTGCCAGGTTCCTGGGGGCGGGAAGCACTGCATTTCTCCCTGATGCTTTCTCTCCCTGAACAGAAGTTCCAATGACTGCCAACCTCTGTCTGAAGTGTGAGGCCGGACTCTGAACTAGGAGGGACACAGAGCAGAGGGAAGCAGCCTTCCCGTATCACCTGCAGACAGGGTGGGCAAGTGTGAGACAGAATGACGGGTGGGAAAGTCTTGTGGGGCGAGGAATTTATCCCTGAACATAGGATCCCGTGCAGGCCCAAAAGGAATCGCAGGCTGGCGGGTT